ACCAGGACCAGTCATCCCAGGACTGATCGCTCCATTAGCTGTCTGGCCATTGTCCATGTGCTTGCCATGCATCGGATTCTTCGGCCAGGTCAGACCTGCCTTTCTTCCGTTTGAAAAAGCGCCTTCCATGGGATCCCTTGCCACCTTTTCCTTTGCCTTTGCGGCGGCCCTTGAATCCGCGCTTCATCTTGCGACCTTGGAAACGCCGCTGGAACCATGAGTAGTTCTCGTCGTCGTATTCCCAGAAGGAATCTTCATCAGCCTCCAGGAAACCTTCTGTGCCATCCTCCTCGTCCTCGGCCCAGTAACCTTCATGACTGTCCAAATATCCTTCATCGATAACCAGGAAGGAGCGGGTTGTCGACGGTAGTCTAGGTCATGCAGAAGATCTCGAGGTAGACTTCGCGCAGCTCGGCAAGGCCGTAGTCTGCCAGCACTCGGTTCCGATGTGCCATCAACGATATCAGCACCTGTCTCTGATGCTGCGTGAGGTCGGACAGTGAGACAAAGATCAAAGCAGGTGGATTGGCTGTGATCGGAATGGTCCGAGCATGCTGGTCTCTGGGCCGTTCGTTCATTCCACGCCTCCTGCATTCTTTGAACAGAGAGTTGAAACCTGGTAATCCAACGAAGCATGTCTCCATTCCCGCGGTGCCAGTTCATGAACTGCTGGAAGCTGTAGAGGAAAACATTTGCTGCTCCCTTCACGAAGAGCGGCCGCAGGAAGCTCTTCAAGTACTTCCCTCCGTTGGCTGCATCCTTCAGGCGATCCCTGTCGAGAAGCATTTTGTGGATAGCGGCTTCACCTTCTAGCCGATTTCTCAAAGCTGGTCCACGCTTGTCAGCATCAAGCTCAGTGATGTCACACCAGTCATCGATCGCATCTTCATAGGCGAACCAACTGCTTCGTCCATCATATGATGGTGGTACTTTTGTGGTCACCTGCTGGAAAGCTGAGAGACGGTGTAGTTCATTGACATGACGATGATTCGTCGCGTAAGATTCATCTCCATGAAGGAGGCAATCTTCATCTCCTTCACCATGCTAAAAAATAGTCGCAAAGTGGCTAGCCATTGCACTGTCCTCGGATCGAGCCCCGGGAGATTACTCTTCCGGCAGCCTTCACCTGTGTGTAGTGTGCCGGAGAGACTCCGGTCACCGTCACCTGTGTGAAGCACACCGGGTATTCCGGTTGCCTCCACCTGTATGGAGCGTGCCAACGGCTACCTCCACCGGTGTGAAGCTTCCCGCTTCCGGGAGCCCCGCTACCGCGTTGAGATGTAACCTGGACGTGTATCCCCTCGCAATGCGTACAGGAACACAGGCACTCAGGAGTCTCTTTTCCTACAGGCGCACAGCTGTAGTCTGCACTAGAACCTGGAGCAACAGGCATGGATACATGCAAGTGATACGTGAAACAGACAGGCACCTGGATGTGTAACATTCAGTGTTTCACCCCCCCCCCCCAACAGCGACTGGAAGCCCAGCCTGGCAAACGACACTCGCGTTGATGTTGGCTTGTGCATCCCCCCCGCTTGACCACAGGTCATTGTAGTGAAGCTCGTTGGTCCGCCTGAGCAGAGGCTCGGAAACAAGTCGCTGCAGCAAGTCTTTGCATCTGCACAATTTCAGAACTGCAATCCTTAGGCCTTCATGTTGAGAATAAGGTACGAATTCACAGGAACCCCCACTGCGTATGGACGACAGGCATGACTTCGCGGAATCTCGTCCACCAACTGTAGCGGCTTCTCTGCTTGTTTCATTTGGCCCCACGCTATTGGGTTCACTGCGAGATGCAGTTCACTTCCACGCGGGTATCGATTGAATCGATTTGGCGCGCTGCCATGCAAAGCTTTGGCTAGGTCCTGTGCTGTAGAGGCTTTCTCAGGTGGCGTCTTTGGCGATGATATTATGGCCGAAGGAAATTGGTGACATGATGGCATTAGCAGGCCGACGTCCCAGTTTGTGTAGAAAATTGGAGCGTATGATGTCGCGGGCATGGTGTATAGAGGAGCCGACATCGTGAAGACCCAAACGGGTGCAGCAAAAGTCGAGACACGAAGTCGTGCGTGCGGACAAAGTTCGCTCTCCGTCAAACTATTTTCAGAAAGTGCAATCAATCGATGCGAGCGTAATATCTGAGTATTCTTGAAGCCACTCTAGACGAACGTCGCCAGGCTAGGCTACCCTTGAAACTGCGGATATCTGCGGATCCTGCAGGCTGGAGGCAACATGTATGCATGCAGCCACTTCTTGACACGGGGGGGCTCCCCTCTCTGCATCCATCATTGGCATCATATGCGGGGCTCCCCCCACCTCAACAGCTGCTGCACCACAACCACAACCAGAATGCCGACGACAACAACAACCGCAACGACAACAACCACACCACCAGCAGCAGCAGCAGCCGCAGCACCACCACCATCACCACAACCACCACGGTCTGTTATTGCTACCCACTAGGATTTTGTTGAGGTTAGTTTTGACCCATCTTCCCCGGTCCCTCATCCGCACAGGGCAGGCGGACTTCCGCTCGAGCTGGTTGTACTTGTACTTATGCAAAAAAAGGAGTAATTAGGCCGAGCAAACACCGAAATTGTGGGCCCCACCACCGTGAATTGGTAAGCGGCAACTCCCATACTCAACAGGTCTAGCTTGCGTGACCATACTCAGACCTTTCCGCGACCGCTCGAGGACCTTAGGACAATTTCTTGACTCGAGGAAGTTGAGGACGGCCCCGAGATCAATCCGAATGCACTACAAAAGCTGCAGAAGTCGACTTCCCAGCCACGCGCATTTTGGGACACTGAGAACTTATGTTCTCTGGTGCTAGAATAGTCGAGTTTCGAGCAAGGACCAACCGTGGGGCCCTTCGGGTGTGATTCCAACAGCTCCTACTGACCGCATTGTTAGATCTACCGACTTCCAGCCAGGACCAACAGAGAGGTGGCTCGCGCACTGCCTGTGAACTATTCAGGACTCCAGTTTCTAGCCACGATCATTCGGGAAACGATAGCTGTGCTCAGGCTGTGCTGCCACTGCCAAACATCAGCAACTATCGAACTTCCAGGCAAGACAACTTGGGCGACGGTTGCTCTGTTGTACTGATGCGGTCACCTAGCCAGCCAGGACCTTTGGGGAGGTGGGCACGGGGTGCTGCCGTCACAGGACTGCGGTGAGAGTACGGTTTTGTGCTCTTAGCTGCAACCATTCGATTTGCAGACATACTCAGACGAGCAGCCTGCTTGGGAAAATCAATACTCTGCACCCATCGCGAATGCAGCCCGGGTTTCTGACAAGCAGCAAGTCCACATAGCAACCTTCTGGATAGTCGCACCGGGCCGACGTGCCAGCCCACTGGTAACCTGACCCAGATGCTGCTGCAAGACATCGTCCATGCTGAGATCAAACCGTACCACGTTTTACGGCGCATCTCTCTGAGATGGTTCAGTTCCGGCTTTAAGGTTCGAGGCTTGAGGCAAGAACGGACGCGAGCCAACGTATCAAACCCCACTGGTCCAAGTCCGAGATCTGGAGCCATGCCCTACTGTCGGGAAGTGCACCAAAGGCTTTTTTTAAGCCAGCGGCCCCTAGCTGCAAGAGCTGCTGCGACTTCATCTTCGCACTTGGAGAGTGTGGGAGTCCTGGAAAGTTGCAAACAGGCTCGGAAGTCCGTGTCCTGTGCACAATCCCGTGCTTCAGGCAAGCCGCACTAACGACTGAGTGATGCTCCTAGATACATCCGACACGCAGGTCCACAAAGCTACCAACTGCAACAGAAATGGCCCTCCTCGTGTTTGAGGGGCAGCTTTCAGCGCCCGCTGTGTGAACGATGAATTCCTTGGGGGTGCAGGCCTTCTGCAGCCCTTGAGCTCTCCAGCCTTCATTAAGCACAAACTGCACAAAGGCTGCAGTGTTTCACGTGTACCTTCTTACAGAACCACCGCTGGCACACTTCAGAGGCTAGGGAAAGCGCCGCTGAGGCTGTCGTCGGTGAAAGGACCAGGAAAGCACAGGCGAAGGAGCGCCTGGTGACGTCAGGCAAGATAGGCAAGGCCAGGGCCAAATGCTGCATCTGTCGATGGGATTGGGTCTGTTCTAGTTCGGGCCAAGACTGCCTCAGGGCCTTGAGTGGAGAAGTTGACTTGCTTAGCCGGCGGTAGCTGCGAACGAAATACCACGGACTACCTGCCGAGCGCTCTCCTGCGGACACAAGCCCCGGCAGTCGCAGCATTACCAAATGGCCCGCAACAGCACGCGAAGAGCATGACAAACATCCGCTTCTTCACAAGCCTCGCCCTCGCCAGGGAAAAACGCTGCATCCTCAAAGTGCGGCCTCGGCTGCAAAGAGTGCCGGGATGCTTTGTGTTGGGTCTTCCGACGGTCTTCCACATCAAAAAGCAGGCTGAAGCTCTATCGCTCCCGAAGCTTTGGAAGTCAGTGTGCAATTAGTGCCAATCATGGGGATCTGCAGAACTGACCTCAGCACACAGTGTGAAGCCCAAAAGTAGACTTTGCGTGCAAACCTACTAATGGGCCGACCTGGATGGCTACTGTCTTGCACATTCGCAGGTCCAAACTGAAGCTTTCCACTGTATTTCCCTAGCAGCCGTCTCAACCTGAGGCTAGGATGCACTGCTGGCAGAGCGCGGCTTCGCTTGGCAGCATACGGAGCCGATCCAGCTCTCGGAGTACATCCGGCATGGCTAGCGACCGCTCACACAGCCTCGGCCTGTAATTACTGTAACAGGTTGGCCACACGGACCGGGGAAGCCATGATGCTAATGAAGTCAATCTCTGCATCCAGAGGCAGATTTCAACCGTTTCAATTTATCCAAAAGCTGAGTCAGACAGCTCGAACAGCGCGGCAGTCTCTTCTTGATCATACTCCTCAAAAGTGATTCTGGCTAATAATTATGATTGCTCCTCCGAAAAGACAGGTAGCAGAGCTGGTGCGGTTCCATTGGCTTCAACCTGGCACCGTGACATGAACCACCGGCCTGCAGCGGACCTTCCGACCTGGTTCAAATCGGCTTCGTGACAGCAGGTGACAGCAGGCCAGTTGCAAGTGCCCGATAGGTTAAATGCCGCTTGAATTTGTGTTCCCAGACCATGATCGACCTGCAAGCCTGAAGCGAGAAGTCAAGCTCACGGGCCCAAGCCCGCTGGCCACTGCGCCCTGGCCAGCTTGGGCAGCATGTGCAAGCGCCTGTGCAACGGCTTTTTTTTTCTCTCTCTCTCTCTCTCTCTCACTCTCTCTCTCTCTCTCTCTCTCTCTCTCTCTCTCTCTCTCTCTCTCTCGATTTGTATACATACACGTATGTGTGTATGTATGTATACATACATATATATATATATATATATATATGTATGTTAATGAACAAATGCACACGCGTGTACAGTTACATTTCCATACAGGTACACACATACATACATACATACATATATATATATATATGTTTATATTTATATGCACAAACACACATATAGATAGATATATATGTATATATGTGTGTCATACATGTGTGTGTGCACGTCTGTATATACACACAAATAGATACAACAAGGAAGGAACGATAAAAACACACATGTGATTACCATAAACCAGTCTGGATCTCACAGTCCACAGAACTCTAACGGTTGACGCATGTCGGAACCTCTTCTCATGCCCGCAGCAAAAATACTACACTCCGATTTAGCAGCCTCGAACGCATTAAGAAACACGAATGACAAGACAAACTGAATATCCATGAATATTTGTTATGCGAAACCCATCTGGTGTCGCGCGCATGCCCAGACACTCTTCGAACCTTCAACTCGGAACCCTGAAGTCTTTGCACCACTTACTGTATCTTGCGACCAGTCCGCGACTTCGACTTGCAACTTATTTCGAAGCACGCACGTAAGTGATGAAGCCCTTAATAACATAATGTAGTCTTGTCACTACTTCGGTGAACCTAACCTTTACAATATTGAGGATTGGGGCATCATATATAACGCATTGCGAAATCGGCCGCATTTGTTTTGGGCTTTTTCCTTTCTGCTCATGGTCAAGCAAAAAATTTAATGAATTGAGTGGAACAAGAACTCTGTTCTCCGATAGCCGGGCCGCAAGAAGCTCCAACTTTCTCTTGTAGACCAAATATATGAGGCCAAACACTTTCAGCTTCTCCCATTGGCTATGTACGAGAAGCCGAGAATGTCTCATTCTTGTGGGCCCAAGCTCGGTTGGTTTGGGGGGTCAGAGTGTAGGATGAAGGAACACGTCTTCGACACCAGCCAGACCTTGCTAACAATCCCCCGAGAACCCGTCCAGCTGGCTCCAGGTACCCCCCAAACTAAAGCCTGTAGCAGCATTGATTACTACTGTACTGCTGTAGGATTACTGTACGAGTACGCTCTTGCTGCTGCAATGCTACAGTACTATCACTGAATGTTTGGGGGGAGGAGATGGGGGCCTGGGGGCGGCCAGTCAGTAGCACATTCGGTGCGAAGACATACGTGACCCAGAAAATTTTTCGCTTTGACAAACGGCCTCGTGCATATTCCTGTCAATCTCTAAACGTCTCCGTCTCGAAGGCACTCGGCGTGCGATGCCGCGATGCTTGTGCACACTTGAGTCCGGCGCCTCTGGCCTTCCGAAGTCCTGCGATTCCTGCAGGGGTCAGGAGCGGAGGCTTGCAGCGGGCAACCCTCAGCCCAATGGACCACAAAAGCATTGCAAAGCCCCGTGATTTTGCACACGCAAAAAAGCTTGTAGAGAAAGGTATGATGATCGACATTGGAGACCTCGATGGACGTTGTACTTTGGCATCCTCGGAAAACCTGACGAACAAGGGTCTAACCAAGAGTCTGACAGTTGGTTTCAACAGATCGTCGAGGAAGCCGCCCTCTCGGAAAATCCCGCGCTTCTCATGGTCCCCTTGTCGAGGACATGTCAAAAGCATTGGCACTGACCGAGAGCGTGCAGCGTCGTGAAAGGGAAACATGCTGACGATCATATAACCAGTCGGCTGGGCATTGCTCCTCTGCTTCTTGTGAGGGAGCTATACCGAATTAAGGCCTTTGTCGCGTCATGGTGCCTTGCGGCACCAGAACCTAAGCACTGCTGTCTGTACATGGCAAAAACCCTCAAACTCGCCTTTGCAAGTAATAGGCATCATTGAGATTGTGCAAGAGGCTGGTGTCTGCATCCTGCGGGGTTCTGCACACGGCTTGTGCTGTCATAAACGGCCAATGATGGCCGGAGAAATGTCATGCAAATCGCCATGGGTCCTTCGGAATTCCACTTTTCGGAAGTCCGGCCCGCCGAACAGTCAGTGAATTTCTTTCTCCCTTAAATTCGAATTTGTATTGATTATCCTGTAGTTCAGGCAAGTAGTGAGGCTGTCACCATGTCGGCTAGCCTCACAGATCACCTCAGCTGTCACTGCGTTGGCATTTCCAATGCTGCAAACTTTACCTGCATGGATACCGGAGACCAACCGCGAAGAGCTTGTGGCCACGAGGGCGATGAGGATGCAAACGCTAAGTCTGCAGCGCTGGAAGGCTGCTCACAAGTCAAGGCTTGCTTTTGACCCCACCTTCCCATGATTCGCGGAAACGATCTGGCATGAGCAAGGTGCCCGGTGCGCGTCGTTTGGAAAGAATGCTTTCGTCAGCTTGAAGTTTCAGCGCTGCGAATGGCTTCCTGCTGCTTTTCCAGGTAAGCTTGTCTTGTCTTGTCCCGTCTTCTTGTCGGTATGTCCAACTTAATTACCCATCTTGTCTGACTCCGTGTGGTGCAAAGCCTTACTATGAAGCCCTGGACCCTAAAGCTCCAAGACTCCCGACACTAAAACCCCACCCACAACCCCAACATGCCCTACAAAACTCGAAGAAGGCCGGGCCGGGTCGCCTTCGGGCATGTGTAACGAAGGCCAGGGCAAAGATGCCTGCGGCAACGAACCTCGGCCAGGGCTTGGCCGGCGCTTCGACTCACACCCTCGCACAAGAGACAAGGGCTGACTTGGCTTCAAGTCGGGGTTCGACGCTCACGCTCGCACGAGGCAGGCAAGGCTCCACAGGGGGTTTAGGGTTCGACGCTCTAGGTTCTTCTGAGGGCACGAGGCTCAGAAGCCCGGACGAAGCATCGAAGTTTCGATGTCTTGGGGTTTTTGGAGGGTTTTAGGCTTCAGGGATCCTCTCGTTTTGCACAGGCAGGATTCGTTGAACACATTTAGCATCACTATATAACAATACGGCTGGAAGATAGAGCCGGCGAACAGAACCCCTGCGACTCGGAGCACCTATCATGCACATCATGCACGATTTGGACATTAGGATGCCAAAAGCAGATGCGGCCTCCACTGTCTGATGGGATTAGGGAAGTGTAGGGCCCGCGTGTCATGAAACGCACATGGAAAGCAGTTGGGTTCACAGCTTCTTCTTCGACTTATTGGCCTGGAGTGAGCTGAAGGGTTGTACTGAGCGAAAGTTGAACAGTTGGCAGCACAACAAATGACAACTACATCATACTCAAACGGGAGCTACTGGACCCTCCTTCCCGTTGGGCAGGCAAGCCACCGATCTCCACAGGAACGTGTTCCGGAAAGCACTGGGCTAACATCAAAGACTTGAAAACCACAGCAACCACCACAAAGAACTCTCAGTTCTCTCCCCTTCTCTCCCCTGGCCCCCGCCACAGAACACTTCAGGGCACTGCTGGACTGTGGTTGGTGCCCTTGCGGACTGCCCGTCTTTAAAGCATCGAGTGGGCTTCTCCTGTGTCTCCCCTAGCTCGTTGCCCCCAATCCTGAGGGTCCGTGTTCTGTCTTTCTCTCTTGCTAGCCTCCCTGCTTGCTTGCTTCAGGCCCAGACCATCCATCCGCTCCTTGGCGGGTCGCTCCCCCCCCCCCCCCGCCGCCTGCACGCTTCCGCACATCCGGCTTGGTTGGTTGCCCCTGCTGGGCACTGTCATGGCCAGGTCTCCTCTCCCTCCCTCCATCTCCTTCTTTCACTCTCATTGTGCATATAGCCGCATAGCTATTATTCAAAATTCAAAGCACCTTTTCCTCAAATGGCCTCCAGATTACAGGATCTACGGAAACCAGTACTGGAAGCAGTCGGCTTCATCCCCAAGCCCGGGAGGCCTGCAAAACCTTGGAAAAAATTGGCGATGTTCACTGTTCCAGTTTTGTCTCGTTTAGCAATCTAGAGGTCGAACGCCAAGGAGCGCTGACCACAAACCAATCCTCGGATCTGTGCTGCATCAAACCGACGAAACGAAAACGTGAAACAATCTTGAGAGAAAGGCCGAGAATCAGTGCGGCGAAACAGACTGGAATGCTGGAGGTGATGCCCTCATCCATGCCATAAAAGTCCTATGCAGGTTGGCTGCTGTCTGACACAAGCTAGAACCAAAAAGGGGCTCCAGTTGCTGTGCAAAAGCTCACTTGTCGAAAGGAATTTGCTGCATCGCTACAGATGACAAGGCTCAATCACGTTGACCAGCTCCCCATCTTTGTAATAGTAAAGCGATTCACCACCTGCGACATGCAGCGCCATGGCAAACGGTCAAAATGAGGATTCTGTGTAGCAGCTGCAGCTCGAACCACGACAGTTTTTCAGGGCTTAAAACACTAAGCAAAAAAAACCTAAGGGTATCCCACAAACATCCCCCTGTACTTAAGGCCAGCAATGTAAGGATCTCCTTGTCAAATGCTTATGCTTATGTGGTTTTGGTGGGCCCAGCAGCGGGAGAAAATTTCCTTCACCCTGACGATACAGGACTGTACACTCTTCAGAATGCGCGGCCGTTGCACCACAAGTCCGCATGACCCAGCCTGGATGATTTTGAAAGTGGTTCAGCATCAGCAGTGCCCAGGCGTACTTCATGAAAGACACTGCTGAGTAGCACTGCCACGGGTAGGCCATGTTCCTAAGGATTAAGTCGGAAAGTGGAATACCGCCTTCGGCATCGCAAGATCACTGTGGGTTTTGATTTGCAAACCTCACCGAGGACCCTGTCCGTTTCAAGGCGCAGGGAAGTTTGTGCTTTCAGTCCGGCGCGTGGACACCTACAAGCCTTCACACTTACGTACATGCAACCAAATAGCAAACTACCCAAACTGCGGTACTCCCGTACTCCCTTGCTACGATGTTCGTACATGCCTGAAAACTTGCAACAAAACTTGAATAATTGAAAGCCTCAGGGGCTCGCACAGGATGAAGAAGCCACAAACACAGGCCGTGGATGCCAAGTAAGCAGGGAGCGTTGCATTCGCAATCTCCATGTTTGGGGCAATGGCTGCAATGGCGTAGGCGACTACGATGCCTGCTGAAACGCTGCAGACACTGAGTCGGAAACCCTTCAAACATCTATAAACCATAAACCCACGACCTGCGACCACCCCCTGTGGTTACAATTCGGGCCAGCAGAAGTAGTCTTAGGGGCTCCGCCAAGATCATGACGGCGCTTTTGAGCGAACGAGGTGCCTATGAAGTTGGTAGTGTAGAGCGTTGCGGCAAAGACCCAGAAGGAGCCGCGAAGGTCCAGGGCCGAGTACAGCGCCAGGCTGAAAAGGAAGATAATCACAATGCTCATCACTGCCTGAAGCTCGTGTGTTTGAGGGATCCGTACATAATCCGACATGATACCCAGACCAGGAAGGCCCGCAGCTCACAAGGCTTGTGTAGGAAGCCTCCTAGAATCCCAAGGCCCCTGAAAGGAATCGACACTCACCCCCCAGATATGTCCAGACTCGTGCACGTGCCTCCTCAATCAGTTTCGCGACGTAGTAGGTCACGCTGTTGTAGAGTCCGTCGGCACGCTCGCGGTAGAAAAGCGCACGCTCCAGGACCAGAGCGGGCAGGAAACTGGTGGCCGTGAAACCGCACATCGCCACGAGAAAGAAGAAAATCCCACATGTGGACCTTGCAACCCGCACACTTACGTCTCAGCACTTGCGAGGAACGGGAGATGTCACCACAAGCACAAGGAGACGTGTCAAGGACGGACAGACTGTGCACACCAAGCACTCCCAGAAATCTGTGTTCCGACCCCTTTTCAGCCAAGCGCACTGGACGCTGGCCAACTCCGTTCCGGCACCAATCCTCCAGTAAAGGCTCACGAAAACCTCAGCTGGATCTCTACACCCGCTGCCAGAAGTGCACATCGGCTGGCACTATAGTAAAGTAAACATGCATAATGTTGCGCTTGCGTTCGGACTGACAAGGAGCCACTGCCAAGCCGATCTTGTCCCCAAATCGGGCTGCAAGGAAATGCAGGTCACGGTAACGAGACCCCGTGCGGTACCAAAGCATCGTCCTGTCGTGGGCTCACGCAGTTGGCTCTGGATTGCTTGACTGTCAGCAGGTGTATTCATTTTCATATCCATATTTCATAGATAGATAGACAGCCAGACAGACAGACGGACGGACGGACAAATATCATGCCTTTCAAGAACTTTCTGCTAACAAAGACATGCATGGGGCTTTATACGCTTTTGAACATGCTTTCCTTTTTGCGTTTATACACCTGGCATACTTTGTGTATAAATAGATATGTATTTATGCGTGTATATATATAAAAGTATATATAGAATACGTAGGTGTGTGTAATCTAAAAGCCGAAGCTCCTGAGAGCAGCGAGCTGGCTTGGCTTGCCAGGCCCTTGTCCAAGAGTTTCTCCACTTGCCGCCCAAACGAGAGAGCCTCGGAAAAGCGTGTCATGGCTCTTAGCCTTGCACTTCAGGGACGACCCCAGACTACTTCGAGAGGCAGACTGTTAGCCCGCCCGCGAACCTTGATGCTGAAGCTCTTCGCGATCTACCTTGTGCCAGAGCTCGCAGACGTCCTGCCATTCGACACGAGGCAACATGCAGGGTTGTGGAAAGACCCGACAGATTCCCGTCCCGATTGGGGAGCGGATCCGCTTGAAGAGAATACTGTCGGAATGGTACCTGTATACTGTAAACAGTTGAAGGCACAGGGAGTCTGATGTTTCCTCCGTTCTTCTGACAGAGAAGGAAAGAGTGTGAAGTTGAGGCGCACAACGAAGCAGTGACATAGGCCAAGAGATGTGGACATGCAGTTTAATGATGTTTCGATTGTGGCAGTGTACGCAGAGAGACGCGGGACACTGCAAGCAAATCTTGTCGAACAGGGATGTGCGCAAGCTTGTTGCAGGAAGCATGTTTGCACCCGGCTTTGCAAGTTGCCGGAGAAATCCACAACCCTCAACATCGGAACTTTTCTAAACACCTTTATGCACCGCCCCAACCTCCTCTTTGCTCAGCACATCGAGAAGCCAGTCGGGCAAGGAGAAGCCAAAGGAGTGGCGCGGCATCACGAAGCCCATGCCCTGATCGCAGTAGAGGGGATTGATGCTCGGAATGCGCATTGGAGGACTCTGCACTGCTGCGCTGAGATGGCTTAAGAGCAGCTGGCCCTCAGGGAGTTGTGGTAGCTCAGGCCTGGCCTCAAAGTGGCGCTGCACATGCTCCACTTCGCCGGCATAGGCCTTCACTTGCGGAAACTCTCGTGCGCTCAGATGGGCTTAGGGCTTAGATGGGCTTTGGGTTACTGCGCGGCGCTCTCGGCTCTCTCGCCTCACCGCCGTTGGACAGGAGCAGCCTTGGCAGGTGTTCGAGTTCGGTGCCCATGCAGCGCCGGCATCACACGCTTCCGACATCGACTCTGCACACAAGTTGGAGGTGTAGAGCGTGCTGATAGTAAGATTTCTTGTGCCGATAGTGGCAGAGCCAAGCCGCAGGTCGTCGAAGCAAGCGAAGGCAGGGGCAGACGGCGAGTGCACCGTAGCGATCAGCGTGTAGCCATCGCTGGCCAGCCCTTTCCTGGAAGCAGAGGCCGTAGATGGATTTCCCGGGCCGACATGTTCCGGCTATTGTGGATGTTTCTGGCAGGTAAGTGCATCTCCCTTTCTTTTTCAGAAAGTCGCGAAATCCAAGAATCCGAAAGGCGAGGAAGGAGGAACGCAGCCAGGAATCCATGCAGAAGCAAAAGCAAGCACATAAAACACTACGTAATTACCTGCTCCGCATGTAGCTCGAACAGCTGCTTGTCTTTGGGCTCGAGCGGCAGCACGGCGCAGAGCTCCGCCGCCATCTTCGAGTCCAAGCCACCTTCGGCAAGTGAAGAAGCAAACAGCAAAGAGCTCTCTACCTCAGCAGTGCTGAAAGCAAGGCACTGGTCGGCTCGTCGAGCAAGAGCAGCGCCGGATGGGAAATCAGGGCCAAGCCCACCTGGGACAAGCTTCCATCTATGACAACCTGCCGTGGCCTTTGCAAAGGCAGTGGATCCGAGATCCGCTCGCACCTTGAGCCGGGCGGCACTGACCCTCCTGGCCTGGCCACCAGAAATACCACGGTGTAGGGTGCTACCTCAGGCCCAGTCTCTCAGTCTCCACGGATTCAGATAGCAAGGGCCTAACGTTCTTTTTGTGTGACAGCACGACGTCCAGAGAGGAGTGGAGGCGAGCTGCCAATCTTGGTCTTCCGGCAGGACTCGAGCTGCAGCTTGTCCTGAGTCTGCAGTGGCTCGGGTTTCTGGACCCATGACCCACCAAACACATCTTCAAATCCTGGAACTGAACTGTGTCCGAAAGCTGGAGAATGAATTCTGACACCGAAACTCGCGGGCTGAAGCATTCTGAAGATGCATCCAGGTTCAATCAGCTTGTCCACTCGTTTTCGTTTGTCCTCGGTTCAAAAGACGCGAAGACTCTCACCACATCCTCTATTCTGGGGACCCGTTCCTGGTAGCTCACAGAGGACGAGAGCTTCAGCTCCGTGGTATACAGCAGCATCTGCTCGACCGTGAACTCTGGGAGCAAAACGTTCGCCTGCTTCCGAGCTGCTGCCGGGCTTGGGTCGGATCGAGAGTTAGTATGCGCGAAAATACTCAGGTGCCAAAGAAGAGACGGGACATCTTCAATCGCTCATAGGATGAGATGGCGGCACCCGGTCCACACCAGAGATGATCAAAGCTGCGGCCACAGAGCGCCTGCTCCACGTAGCCGCAGAAGCGCTTCAGATTCCTCTTGGGGACCTGGGCTTTGGCTTTGACCGAATGCCTCCAGTTCTCCCCAGCTCTCCTCAGAAATCCAGTTTTGGGCCAGGTTGCCACCTCGCCGGCGTACAGGACCTCACCCTGGATCTCACCAGCACGGCCCTTCCGCCCGGCCAAAATGTCCAACCTTTCTTTGCTGCTCGTAGGCAGTGCAGGGCTGGCAGGGTTTGAAATCGAGAAGTTTAGGTTACAAAGGTGTTGCGGAGAAGCACATACCATGGAGGATTACAGGATTCCAGATGGCAGACTATCCATGACGCCAGCCAGAAACCGTCCTATCAATCGGAAGGTATGCTTCGGAACTCGACTGCTCAGGCGAGGCTTCAGCCACAACCACCGCATCATGACTTGTGATTTCGATGATGTTTTGTGCAGCCGTATCATCATCTATAGTCATGGCAGACTATCCATGACGCCAGCCAGAAACCGTCCTATCAATCGGAAGGTATGCTTCGAAACTCGACTGCTCTGGCGAGGCTTCAGCCACAACCACCGCATCATGACTTGTGATTTCGATGATGTTTTGTGCAGCCATATCATCATCTATAGCGTATAATGATTGGGTACGACATAAACATGTCCAGGCGCAGCGTGGTCTTTCCTGCACCGCTCGGGCCCATCAGCGCTGCAAGGCGCCCCGGGTGGAAGGTGGCGCTCACATGCTTCAACACCTGTGCTGCAGGTAACATCCGAAAGCATCAGTTTGAAGACCCTGTTTCATCGAAAGATGCTCCGACGACACTTCAAGCAATGCAGATTGCTCCAACCTTCATCCCATGTTGCCCCTAGCATGAGAATGTGCAAGGATGCCCAGGCCAATTGAAGCTGGGTCCGATGCTCCGTCCAACACACATCACGCATGATGTCGCGAGATGTGCCCCAGGAGAAAAGGAAACTCACGACACCCCCTTGACCTGTTTGAACCCAGATCCTCCAACCCAGCGCCCCGCAGCCAAGAAAACTAAATGCAACTCCCGCTTTCGGCCTGTTTCTGCTCCCCTTTGACCTGCAGAACAGTTGGCAGAATCATGTCTCACAGTGACAACCGGGACACGGCATGCCGAAGGACACCGGCTTGGCTGACTGTCTTGGATTCTGGACTCAGACGGCGGTCTGCTCTGGACTCCCCTTTCCGACATGGTCAATCGAGTTAATCCCGACATCGTCAGTGAGTTTCTAATTAGGAAAGTGAAAGCGGAAAAAAGGCAAGGACGCAGGGTCTTGGATTTCTGGATCTCGCCTGCACGGTGTAAGAGAGGTCGCAGCAGCTCACCGACACCCCTGCCGCCAAAGTCCTTGCGCCGTGGCATGGCAAAAGGAGTCTTTCAGTCATGCCACAGCCACTTTAGCCACAGCCACGATCCCGTCGAGATCGTGCCAGCCTATATCGCGCATGGGAACCTGATCTGGAGCCAACCTTAAGGCCATAACAGCGATCTGTCATACATCAGCCATCTAGTTTGGGCTGCCGGAGTTGCTCATTGACGGGCAACAGCACTGGGCAAGTGTGCGCAAAGCTCTTACATTTGGCAGTGCTTCGCAGAAACAGGAGTTATCTTCCCAATGCGAACATGAACATGGCGGTCTTCGATGTCAAGGACGAGGAAGTTGTGTCCAGCCTGAGCAGCTGAGTGGCAAGCAGGTAGCTTTCGACAGAATGGTCTCCAGTCGTACCCTCCTTGGACAAGCCTAAGCCTATCGATTCGGTGCATGGGTCTGTGTGCTGATTTCGATCGCCTTGGACGGCTAAATCCACGAGCCCGAAACGGCAAACTCCGTGGACGCGCCTTGAGAAGACCATGGCCGCTGACGGCGGCACAGGGGATATAGCGCTGGGCTGTTGGACTCTTGGGCCAAAGTGCCAACATGTGGACTGTTGGCCCGCCCTGCGTTGGCTAGGATGTTTTAAGCAAAACTACGCTCGGAAAGGTTGAACAGAGGCCATAAGTGGGACGAAGGATCCTTACTTTAAAGAACCTGTAAAGAAGGTAACCCTATACAGTCCTATAAGCTAGCACATCTGAACTGCCCATCCCAAGTCATGAGGCAGGACCCGACTGGGCTAAAGCCAAGCCACCAATTCAGAAATAAATCAAGTCTCTCAATCAACTGCTGCAGGTCTTAGATTTGGCTCACAACTCTCACCGCGGGAATGAACGGCTTCAGGGCTTCAATTAGCCTGACCTACTACGAACTACCATGCTTGCCGCATGCGCTCTAAATTCCTCCTTCATGCTTCCGAACTTGCAGCTCTATGCGTTTATGCAGCCCGGCAGCGTCATTTATGGAGTAGTGAGTAGGGGCATTATGGTCTCGGCGGAAACGAAGAGCAGCCCGATTATCATGCCATGCTACAGGGAATCATCCCCGACCTAACCCTGAGAAACATGTCTACCTGAGCCTGAACCCCCCAAAGTAAGTGAAATAATGGCCCAACACCATTAAAAGGCCGCTGTTCTACATACTGTTGGGGTCTAGGTACTCACGACATCCCAACTTGTCGTTATGGGGAGGGCCCCCACAAAGGCTCCTCAGGTGCCGGAGCAGCAAGCACCTCCGAAACCACTTGCGGCCTCGGCAGCCCGCGAGTCAAACTGGAAATGCTTTTGTCATCTCTCTGTAAGCGTTCAAACCGTTCTAGGTGAACCATTCAGAACATGTTGCATGCAAGTAGGGGTTGGTAAACTTTGCCGTCTTTCTGGTGCAAAGAAAGCTGGAAGTTCTTACCAGGCACCCAGCCCAAGTGAAGCTTTTCCGGCTTCCTTATACATAATGCAGACCAGCAGCTCGAAAGCTTTGGCTTTATCAGGCACTGCGTCCTGAACATGGCAATCATCGTGGTCTAGCTTCAGCCGGTCGGATTCGGTCGGAGTCTTAATGAAATAGCTCTGAAACCATCGTAGACAACTCAACTCGGAATTCGAACATCTGCTGCCAAGGCGAGGCAGCTTGGGGCCCCTGGCCTGCAGCACAACTCAACTGTCGGAAGTCCCATTCATGGCTGCAAGCTCAGATGTGCCAACGAAATTATCAGGGACCGTAGCCTGCTTTCAGCTGTTGTTTGTAGGCGGGTGGGGAGAAAGAGAAACTAAAGTTCAAGCACTTGGCTCCGACAATCCTTTTTCATCATTCGTCCGACTCTGTCGCCGTAGACTCCTCCGACTCACTGTCGTACACAGCGGTGCCCAGAAGCCTTCCATAGGCAATATGACCGGAGAGACGATCGAATGAAACCCCGGGCAGCGCTGGCCGAAAACCACACATTAACAACACCAACCAATGCACCTGCTAAAACCGAGGGGCAAGCGTGCAACCTAAATAACACGCGCTCCTTTCTGCAATGTCTGAGCATCTCAGTGTAGACACTCATTGGTTCTGAGGTACATGACAAGAGCTACCCCAACGCCCATCCTGTGCAGTGTAAACCTCCGACTGACGGCCGTCCGTTTAAACGATGATCAATACTTAGATGCCACGCAGACTCAAGCAGCTGCATGCCGATTTATTGATTCCAGGTCTGGAATAGTTCAGACACAACTTGTTTAAACTGTCCATGTTCTGTCGAGGCAAGTACACCATGCCAATAAACTGGAACTCAGCTCAAGCCGCGGATTCGCAAGCCGCCGACGCTTGTTCGCTGCCGGCGTTGATGCCGCGGTCTGCTTCACCAGTCTGGCATTCTCAGGAGATGACACAGATACAAGTAGGCACTGAATAATGCTTTCACCTGCGACCCATGCCTGATTGCAAGGTTTGGATTCACTGACAACACAAATCCATCCATTGCGATGTGTGAGAAGGGACATTGCGGCTGCTTTGGTTGCATTAACTGAATCAGAAACAGACCAAGCATTCTTAACCAAACCTCCCACATCGCAGGACGGTGTTCTGAATTGTCCAGAAAGCCTGGAGACGTGTGCTTAAAACGTGTGCCTCGACAGCTCCTTTGGCTGCTCGGCGAAGGCCCAGCGTCCAAGCGTCGCCACCCCGGCATCGCCTCTGCGAAAGACTCGTGCGCTTTCACTCTTTCTTTGGCAAACCCCCGGTGCGATCAAGCCCTCTCCCTCTGTCTGTTTCTTCGACACCACGGTGCATTTGCAGAGAAGTCTGCGAGTTTTAGATCGAAGCAAAGCTGTGCGACGATGCTCGCTGAATCTGAACCGTAGACCAACATCCGCCCGAAGCTCTTCATGTCCATGTGTTGAACTCTCGAAAGTGGACCCCGACACACATGCAGAGCATGTGTATGTATGCAGGAATTTAACACACATTGTTGTTGTTATCACAAACTCCAGCCATAACCGCCGGAGCCGCGGCTCAAACGCCAAAGCCTGGGCTCCTCGTGAAGGCTTTGAGCCTTGGGAGGAAGACTTCCAGAGTCTCGTGATGCGATCCGCGCAGAGAGACTGCAACTTTCCTCGATTCAGTATGATTATGCCCGGGCAAGAAAGGCTTAGTGGCGAAGTCCTGACAATCCTGCAAGCAGTCATTGCATATCGAAGGTTCCACGAATCCTCCTTTCGAAGGTTGGTTTCCAAGCCGTCCGCATGGCTGGGCACCCAGCGATGTACTTGCTGACAAAAGCATCGCGATCCATGCCGGCAAACAGCCCAGCACCAGAACCGCGCCACACTCCTTCGGAGCTCTGTGAAAAAGGCCGCAATTTGGGGAGGCGGTCCGGGTACCAGTGCCTGGTTATTAGAGTCACGACCGAACACTCATGACAACACCGATGTTCCGGCACGATCCCTTGCTCTCTTAGCAATGCTGTTGGACTTGCGGCTGCTGCTCAACAGCTTGTCCCACGCCAACCCGCAATGCTTGTGTATTTCGGCCTGCTCCAAGCAAAAAGCGTTTGCGAACTGTTCCAAGCTTTGCATCCTACGTGCAGCGACCAGCAAGGCTTCCGGCTCCTTCCACGTGACTCATTGTCTCGACATCCGCCGCACCGCCCAGCTTAGCCTCAAAAGACGGGACGATATATTACAGGGGTTCGGCTCTATGCATCGCAACCAACAGATATACAGATGTAGCAGTGGCCTCATCAGCGTATACAGGGCTTGCATGCGCTCTGTGAGTGTTGGTGGAGCGGGGAAGATGTGTTTTATACTTTCCGCAAATCGAAATTACTGCGCAGTTGTCGGTTCCAAACAGATACTGCGCAGATCCCGGAGAATTCGGAACCAAGTCTCAAGCAGCACGCAGCCGTCGGTTGAAAGCTGCCTCAGCACTTTTGCTGCACAGCGCCGCAGGCGCTCCTCTCGGTCGAACATTGTTCAACTTCCCTCGCGCTGCCACTCGAAACTGCTACTTCCGGGGCCCCTCTTCTGGCTACAGCCAGAGTAGAACGAACAACTCGAAGCGGCTGGTCCCGAAAGACGGCGGACTTCGGCAGCAGGGCCAGCTCCGCGCCGACGCCTCAGCATTCAACAGAGAATGAGAGAGAGAGAGAGAGAGTGTGTGTGTGTGTGTGTGTGCATGCGTGTGTATGATATGTGTGAGGGACAGGCCAGGTGGCAACAGGAGGCCATGGAAAGTTGCTCGTTAAAGCAATCGTGGCAAACAGTTGCAAGGATGAGCCGATAACAGATGTGTACCGGGTTTTGCCCGCTTGGGCACTCCGCGCTTCCTCCTCCAGCAGCTCCACCTGGGCACTGTGCGACAAGTCTCGACCACAAGAAGACACACCCACATGTAAGCTAATGTCGGAGCCTGCCTCAGAAAGAAGTTGTTCTTCGTACATGCCACATAAATGTGCACACATGTTGCAGGCAGTGGCTGCTTGCAATATACTACCCTCTCCGCTATGTCAGCCGCTTTGTCATATTATGGCATCTACCAATATTTCAATATTGACGTCGCGTTTTGAAGCGCCACGCCAACTCTATATCAAAGCCAACATTGCAAGCCCTGCTGCGCGACTCTAGGACACCGCAACCAAAGCCAGTGGAGCTCGAGATGGCAACACAAATCTCCTCAGCCACACCCCGCGCGAGGCCCCCTCCCACCCACCGCAAGAATTTGCTGCAAACCAGCCTTTAAGCCTTCCAGCGATTCGGAGCGGCGATGGCGCTTTAGATTGGCTACTGAAGACCCTGTCTGCGTGCACAGGTCCACAACGCGATTCCCGAGCTTCACCAACGAACACTTCCGCTGCGAGAGACCGCTTAGGCCTTTCAACTGGGATTCTACAAGTATTGTGGTTGACTGCCCGCCCAAATCAATCTCATGCCTGGGTTGCGAACACCTTTCCCTTCTCGTGATGAACCCTGGCCATCCGGGTATGCATTATTAGCATACTCGGCCAAGTGCTCAATTTTGACGCACTTGGCCAAGTGTGCTAGATTTCAATACTTCTACGGGGCGACTTGTGGTTTCTACGAAAGCATGCTCTTGGAACACACATCATCTCTGATGCATGGCATTTTTGCAGGCTTTGCACTGTCCAACTATCGATAACTATGGATTGGAGCTTCTCACATAGCAACAATGTACCATTCTTGCATACATTCTAACACTACATATACAACAACACCAGGCACTGCAGCCCTTATATTATTATTATATATACTAATAATAATATTAGTATAATAACATTTAACAATATACTCAATGCTATATATACAATGCATATGTTCACGTGTATGTGTTATATACACGGTTATTATATATAAGAGCTTTATGTAATAAAACGGAAAATGCTAATATAGATACAATTATAATATATAATATAATGAACATGTGTGCCCCTTCCTGTGCTGCATGTCGGCATGCGCCGTGTGCTGAACAAGTGGGGGACATGCCTGGACCTCGGCATGTGATATCGAGCTTGCTATTGCAATTCTCGTATTATGATTATTAACAATGTAACAATGTGTGCACGAGGTCAGAAGCGAGTTTCTGCATCGAAGACATCCAGCTCGAAGCCCTCTAGTGACCCTGCTTTTGCTGCAATGTTTTATTCTGGGGGGCTTGCATTGCAATTGCTTTGATAGCACTTGTGCATTGCAATTGAATTCTTGGCCGTTGCAACTCTACACCATGCAAATCTAGTGCTCGAAGCATAGCAATCTTTGTTCGTGGCCCTTTGCACTCTCCTTTCTTCGAAGGCCAAGCAGTGTGATCAGTGAATTGCCCATAGCTGCATATGTATATACAAATGTATATAATAAGCTGAACCAGGGCATGGCCGCTCAGCTGACGAAGTCCGCCGAAGAGCGTGAGGCCTTGGCTGAGTTGCAAGGGCAACTCTTGGAGGACATTCGGTTCAACTTCGAATAACAAGTCTGATGACGACAAGCTGACGACGACATTAATAATAATGAAATTATTATATTGTGCCGCAGTGCAGGCTGTGCTTGCGGCAATAGTATATATATAATGAAATAATATATTGTGCCGCAGTGCAGGCTGTGCTTGCGGCAATGAAAGATATATTCAGCTGACTGCCATGCATGTACTTTGCAAGTGCTCGTAATTTTGTGTCGCCGCGCGGAAGAATCCGCAAGCGGCTGCTGCAGGATCTTGTCAACAGCTGGCTGCTCTCTCGAGCGGATCGGCTGCCGAACATTCGCAAAGACGAGGCCATCATCATGGTTTGTAAATATAATGCGCCATATGATTGTATATCACTGTCAGGCAGGGAACGTGTTTGTGATGGTGCCGCCAAGCCCGGACAGCCAAGAGCAGGTGTGTGTCTCAGGTGTTCAGCTACTGTTCCTTTCATCGTTCATATATAATATAATAATTGTTGTCAGGTCGAGGCCAACTTTGACTTCTTGGCCTCCTTCTATGCAACCTTTTCGGCCGTGGGGATTCC